ACTACTACTACTACTACTACTACTACTACTACTACTACTACTACTACACTATTACTACTACTATACTACTACTGCTGCTGCTGCTGCTGCTGCTGCTCTTGCTACTGCTACTGCTACTGCTGCTACTGCTGCTACTGCTACTACTGCTACTACTGCTACTACTACTACGACGACGACTACTACTACTACTACTACTACGACGGACCTGAGGTATCCATGGGCCGAAAGGATGTGCGAGGGGCATGTGGGAAAATGTTTGAGCTCCTGCGCTATGTGGATCGCTTGATCAACCTCACTTGGTCACTTGGTTGTTGTCCTAAACCCGATATGGGGACCACCCTGCATGAAAAGCTGGGTGAATCACTGGTACACCTGTTCTGGGCGGCAAGCCGTATGAAGAAGCTCGAGGTCATTTGAACAGGCTTAATGATGCCTTAGCGGGCAAGAGAGGGTTGTGAGATTCGTGCAATCAGAACCGGGCTTTGTCCACACAGATGAACTCTTGGCAGCTGTTGTTTTTGAATGTCCACGCAATCAAATCAAAAGGTGTCCAAGAACGTGCAATGGAGCTGTTCAAGACGACCAGTTGTCATCTCACGGCGGCTTCGACCCTGCAATAAGTGAGCCTGAGAGGAATACTGACCCATACTGACCTTGAACGCCTCCACGGGCTTTTCCAGCACCTCGCGCAGACTGGCCGAAGATTCCTTGTTAAGTTGCCGGCGATGATTTATAATGCACAGTTGGAAATCGAAGCACTCCAACCGTGAGACATTCTCAACAGTTCCAGCCCACAAGCAACACGACTCAGATTCTGGGTTCTTCGGTGGAAGGTTAATGCCAAGTGCTCTCGGGCTCAAGTGTTTCAGGTGACGTTTGTGTGGGAGTCGTTCGATGTTTTTAGTTTTGCGAAGCGTGGCTGGTGTTGATGGCCGCTGTTGGGTAGACCTAAAAGGAATGTCGGATAGTAACTATTGAAGCGGCGCGAATTGTTTGTTCAATGAGACGCGCTCATTTTTTCCAAGAGACGGCGAAGCGGTGGCGGATAAGGTGGGAAGACCCCCAATTTTTGTGTCCAACCGGCAATTTCCCCCGTCCATGGATTTATTTTCAACACTTTGCAGCTGTTCCAGCAGCTGTTTTGATTAACTATTTTTTTTGACAGAACGATCTATTTGGCAAAACATTAGACGCGGCTGTCTGAAGGCCTAAACGCAATTATTTGTTGATTCCCTGACGATCCATGATAGGTCACAAATAGAAATGATCTCAGGATATGCATACATTTCTATTGATCGTATTATTTGAAGACGTTGTCGAATCACAGATTGGGGTACCTGAAATGTATATATTCTAATATCATTGTCGGAGGATAAGACCATGAAATCCCAAGAACCAAGCATACCAGGGCGTGACGAACCGTGACAGACCGTGACAGACCGTGATTGGTCTATTTTGTCCCTTTAAAAATGAGGTCATTGTCGGACTCCAGCGTGACAACCTGTGACGAATTTGAATTTGGGATCGTTGGTTTTGTGGTTTTGGGGTTCTGTGGTTTTGTGGTTTTTGGGTCTGGTATGATCTCGTTTTTTGAGGTCCGACCTCACAGGGTGAGGTCGGAGAGCCCCAGAAGACACAACCCCAAATGTTAGCATATAGAGCTAACTTTCGATCCTCAGGGATTGGCGGTGCCAAGAATCGATCAAGGGGTGCGCAGCGCTCGGATTGACCAGCTATCCACATCGCGAACGGCTGAAAAACGGGTGAGTGCGCAGAGCCGCCTAGGCCGGAACACCAGGACCTGAAGGCCTACCTCGCAGAGATGGTTGCCAAGTCAGGCGGAAAGTACGGAAATGGATGGACATGGTAGTTTTTTATACATTTGGTTGCTTGAGTGCTTGAATGATTTGAATGAAACTATGAATCGAGAACCTTGGAGGTGGTCCTATATGCAATTGTGTTTCATTAGATTCATGCGCCCACCAAAACTCTATGTCTTTCAAGCGACCACAAAGCAAATATTTATTTGGTCCTGGTGGTTTGTGGTCATATTTAGTGGGACATACTGGGTCCCCAGTGAAGTTTCTGATTCTTTCTGTAAACAACAAATATCATGTTATCAATGTTTTTGTGTGTTTTTAATGAAATCAAACGGAGACGGAGAGATCATCGTGAAACAGATCCCATTCCTTTTTATGTGTTTTCCTGCCAATAAAGGTCTATGCTATGCGTGACTGTCCCGGCTTGATAGGGTCAGACATGGACACCTAAAGGCAATCACATGGTGATTTGTTCCAGTATGTCCCAGTTTATTGGATCGACCCGTGCGAAAGAAAACCTCCACAACCGCATGAAATTTGTGCCCCCCGCATTGGGCGTTGTTTGTTGGTCGCCTTCAACTGGATCTGTAGGAATGTCATCTTGTCCGTCTCCGCACGCGATCTGGGGCGTATTTGGGGCGTGTCAAGTCCTGGGACGATCGACCTGTCGAGTCCTTGGAACGGAACACGAACCGCTTAATGATTGGAGGGTCCAACATGAAATGGGCGTGTAGCTTCAATTTAGGGAAACTTCCCAGGCCCGGAAGAAGGGAAATAATCCAGTCTATGTAGTAGGCCAAGGGCGCTCCCTCTCTCTATATATATTCCCGGAGATAGAAGGAACAGTTCTCGAGCTGAGAATCGGAATCCGGCGCTCTTTTGGGGGCATCCACCAACAGTTCCCCTTTTCTTGCTGAATAGATTTTTTTTTTTCAGAGCTCGTCACATTGGTGTTGTTTGTTCCCGAAAGCATCTACGTATTTGCTTGTAATGAGGAAGGGTCTTGTCATAAGAGCTGGGGGCGTAAAGAAAACGCTGCAGTACGCACGGTTGGGTGAGTGTTTTGTGCCGCGCAAGCTTTTTTGTGTCTGTTGTTTTGCACTTTGCATTTGATGTGAGAACAGCTTTGGTTGAGGAGGTCTGCTGTGTTTACTAGAAACAGGAACCTCGCAAAAATCAAGCAGAGTCACGGCACGTTCCGCGTAAGGCGCGCGTGCGTAAGTTCCGCGTAGGCAGCGCGTAAGTCTTATGCCCGTCCGTGAGTAGTAGCCCACATGGCTCCCAAACCCAAAGCCTTTTGCCAACAGTGGCCCGAAAATATGTACTTCAGAAAAGCTTCCGCTCTGCTCATATAATAGAGGAGAAGCTTTTGAGTGTTGGAAAGCTTGGTAGACTCCTATGTCGTAAGAGGGTGCTTACGCAACACATAAGTTTTTCTTACGCACTCCACAGGTTTTCTTACGCGGCATGTGCGGGGAAGTGGGTGCCTACGCCACCCTTACGCAGCCAGACTTCGCAGACTTTTGGCGAATGCGCTGGGAACATGTTTACGAGACGTGCTTTGTACAGCGACAAGTTGGGTCTATATCCCACTATACCTGTAACAGTGGATGATGATGGTTAGTAAAGGCCTTGCTCAAAAATGATGATATTTGTCTACTGACTGTTGCAGGTAGTAGGGCAGACCACAGCGATAGGGCTTCAAGAGTTACTACTTGCAGAAGCATGCTTTCCTAGTGGCACGGACTCACGCAAGCGCACTTTCCACGGAGGCCGCGTAAAACCGCATGGCACAGCGACATCACAAACGTCATTGGCCACACGGCCACAAGGCTGTTTTCTAGTAAAATGTGGCTGCCAACTTCACATCTTGTTTGCTTTCATGATTTTTTTCCCGAAACGGCAGGGGGAAGCACCTGACGTTGGCTGACGTTGCATGGACATCATCTCCGGTAGAAGCCGCGGCGAGCCACGAGCTCCGTTTCACTGCGATCGCCAGGAGTCCAGGTCTGCCATAGATGGCTACAGACCCTTCACATGTTCCATCATGGTCCTGGTTTTGTAAATGGGTGGGGGGGGGGGCCCTTCTCGGAAGGATAAGAAAACACGCAGAATTTGGAAAAAGTCACCAAGTGGCCCAGTTCGGAAGGGTTTTTTTCCGTCCAGAGGGTGAACAACTTCAAGGGATTTCTCTTCAAGGTGGATCCATTCAGAGCATTCGGAGAGATGACTAACAGTACTTAAGTTCAGTGGATCACCTGCAAACCCTTTTTGTGGGTATGGGGAGAACCCCACTAAACATGAAGAGGTGCAGAAGGGTCAACCTGTACCTCTCTCTCTTTGATGACATGGACCACCATGCATTGCCCGAAATGGATGGTGGATGGTTTTCGATTTTTTTGTTACTATCGTAGGAGGTAGACAGAAGTGAACCGAAAACAATTGAAAAATGCATTTGTTTAGCATGAAACAATTCACAAGTCATGAGTTTAGGGCATCTCAGGGGGGACAATCATCGCGTTTTTCAGGAATCGGTTACATGGGCATCTCGGGCTGCACCATGCGCCTCAGGCCCCGCCCTTCAATTGATCTCCGTGTGTGCCCCACTACCTCCAGATCATGCCAGATCCCATCATGCAGCCAAAATCACCTCTCGGTGTGTTCTCGAAGAACTGGCAAAACGGGTGACGAAAACGCGGAAAAGAACGCACCAGTTGGATCACGACCGCAGTGTGGAGGCTTGCAAAACAACGGGACGACTGTCTTCAAGAGACGCCGTTTCCACTGTGAAACCCAAGTGCGAGAGGTGGAAGCACTCTGACTCACGAACAGAACTTGGAAGTGGACCACAGGCCCCCGCGAAAAGAGAATTTTGCTCAACGTACAGGGGGTGCCATCCACTTCTATGGACCGTGAGTGATGATGTATAGGCGCATACTGTATACCAATAGGAACTGGGGTGGGAGAAGGAGCGGTACAGGTTTAGATTTTGCATAGGGAGATTCTTTGATCGCATAATATCGCATAGGTTTGGGCACTGGCTCATAGGATGAATGGTCAAAAGGAGACAGATTATGGAGAACTCACTGAAAGTCTCACATTCTAAAATGTAGAGCGTGTCACATGTTCGTGGGGAACAAGTTGTATCCCACATCTCCTTGCCAGCACCCAGAGAAAACCTGATCTGTGGTCCCAGGACCATCCGATGAGGATGTCCTGCCAGGCCCCAGTTCGACCATTCTCTGCCAGCACGAACTCAACTCCGTTCAACCATCTGAAAAAGGAGGTATTTGGACCTCTAGCCTCTAGGTGAAAAAAATGCTGGAAAAAGACGTGGCAAACAAAAAACAGTTTTATTAATCGAGGGGGTATGGGGGACCCCCTCCCTTAGTGATGAGAATATCAAAAAGCGTGTTCTACAGAGGTTTGGCAACGGATGATTCAAATCGTTTCACACTGCTTGAATGCTCGAATGCTCCCCCCCTGTCGTTCACTGGTTCCGTGGTGCTTCTCCCCAGCTTTTGGTGGAGCACAACGATGTCCTGGTTTTGCTGAACGGGTGATTTGTATGGTTACATAGTAGATGGGATATATTTGGGTCAATTCAATTCCATTTGGGGAGTACACTCCCTTAAACAAGTGGACAATTGCCCCTTGGATGACCATGACATCCGAATACCAAACAAGCGGTGTTCACTCCACTTCCATGTGAGTGACTTGCATGTGTATGTTCTACTTTTCTGAGGGTGAGTGACTTCATGTTCATGTGTATGTTCCATATAAAGGGTCAATCCTAGCAAGCCGCACATTCCAGAGACAGTCCCCATCGGTCGGAGCGAGTCAGGGAGACAGTCTTCAGATTTCACTCGGTGCGAGTAGCACTGAGCTCGGTCCAATCATCTCAGGATTTTCTGACCGACCAGCGCTCGAAATTCAGGTGCGAAAACGAGGATCAAACACTTCACCAGTGGATTCAGTTGCAAAGGTCAACGGGTCAACGCAAGAAAATAACTGGTTCTGTTGACTTTTTGCTTTCTCCGTGCTCTACTGCTTCGGAAGCTTTAACTTGGACACCAGTAGTTCTCCAGCAGTTCTTTGTGGTCGCACGCTTTGTTTACTGGATATGTTCTTGATTGTGCAACTTCGTGTGCAAGCGTTGGATCTCTATAACAGCCCAAGAAGTAGTGAATAATATGTAATGAATGTATATGGATTGTTCATTTAGAAACCAGTCCTGCTTCCTAAGAGAACTGAGCCACACTAGCATGAAACTTGATCATTGCCCTTTGACTAAGATGGATTGCTCCCAGCCCTTTTTCATGCCCTGAGGGCTGAGGACATAATCCGCGGCTTGCAAAAAAACACATGTTTGTTTAAGTTTGTTTTTGTATGTTTTTTGTGTTTTCTTCTTTTTTTCTGGGCTAGTTTAGAGTCTCACTCCTGATTTTGTGTAGCACCTGCTCATACTCGTTTGACTCCAGATCAACATGAAGGATTTGAAGGAACATGTTTGCTCAGCACATCTCGGCGCCAATCTTCTCGAGTGCGACCAATCATCGACGGTGGCCAAAACGACCTGACGCTCGATGTGGAGCGCGGCCAACCGACCGACGATGGTGGGACAAAAGAGGCAGAACTTGGGTGAGCTTTGAGGGTAGGAAGCCTGAATCCAAGTAGCCTTTGACTCACTAACATGGAAGTGGATGGCATGGTCCCTTCAGGTTTTTGAGTGATCAACTTGGTCAACACCAGTTGTTGGGTGACCCATGCTTGTTGATGTGGCAGAAGAGCCATTTAGTCTCCCTGAACTTGAAGTTTGCTTAGAAAGATTGACAGAGTGCCCCTGTCAAACTTGAAAGCTTGTTGCGGTATCTCTTTGACTATAGGAACATGATGGAAGGATGCCACCTATTTGTGGTTGGTGACCGCTGGCATCCGCTAGCACATGCTAGGTCCAAAAGAATCTGGCTAAAAATAACAGATACTGTCCCAGGAGTTGTCCCACGGTCCTTTCAGAAGGTGCTTGAGGAGGGGTGTATGTGGAAGAACGTGAACGAACATGGAGTCGTTGGGCCTTCAGAGCTTTGGGCGATCTACTCCTCAGGGCCTCATCTCACAGACATCAGATATCAGATGTTCAGTTGTCAAAGAAAAGAACGAACACGTAAGGGGTTTGCGGGTTACCAGTGCTTTTCTGAAAAACTGACTGCCATAGGCTTGAACACATGTTCAAAGCACCCTGTTTCAAGAAGGGTCATGTCACAATGTTCAGCTTCAAACAAAGGTGCAGGTACTTGTTCAGCACCTCGTGTCCAGTCCGCAAATCATCATGTTTGAACAACTCATGGATGGCCCGGTTCTGCGGATGAAAAAGAAAAACCTCCGGACATGCCGCAGCCCATATGAGACCTGCGCCGTCCGGCGTGCCGCGGCTCCAAAGGAGCTGATGGCGCCTGGAGGCATGATTGGACTGATCGGTCGTTGGCGTGTCATGAATGATTGGGTAGACCAAGGACTTCTTGGAAGCTTACTCCCCTGCAGATTAGAACACCAAACACACTGGGTTGTAGGGAAGAACAGTCTTCCACGGGTCATTTCTCAGGTTCCTTGTTAGTTTCCGGGAGATAACCGGGCCTGCGCGGGGTCGATCGTGTTTCGTTAGCCTGTAATGGCTGCTAAGATGCTTCAGCAACTTATATATCACCTGGTTCAAGACGAGAGAACTGATGTGTTTGTGCCAGCTTTACATCGTGCATACCTTTGCTAGCAAAATTTGGCTGTCAACTTGATTAGGTGGCCCTTTGGGTTTCACATGCTTCACAAGCATGTGCTTTACTTACTCCGACTGTATGGCTGTATGGCACTCCGACTCAGCAGAGACAAACACCGCGACGGACGAGTCTCCGCACCGAACCGACGAGTCGTCCGCACCGATCCGGTCGACAGGCGATCCAGTTGAATGGAGGTGAGACCGCAACTCTGCAGGAGCACGGCGATGTGTTTGCGATCCTTTGAAGTCTAAGATCGAAGCTGATTGTATGTCGTTTTGCACCCCTAATTGTTTAGAACGTTTATGTTCTTCTAGGTTTCATGATGTTTCATGTTTTGGTGAATTGTCATTGCTCAAGTTGTCGTATTCGTTCCTTTTCCCACAGCTAGTCGGGGGCACAAATCCTACTTTTGAGCTAGAAAAGCATACTGTCAAGGACGCGCAAGCTTTCTAGTACAGGACCTCAAAGTAGATGGCACAGACCCCCAGTTGTCCTTTCTAGGTTTCGGGTTCATATTTTCACCACCAAACTTGGAGATCGTGCCATCTATATACTCTGAAATCATTATACCGCATTTCAGTGTTTGTGGCAAACTTGAGAGGATTCGTTGCTTCATTGGAAGAGATGGCAGGCATCGATAGGCATGCCGCACAGCCAAAGAAGTTTTCACTCAACCAGATAACAGCTTGAAAGAAAATTGATTTGCAGACATGGCTTTTGCTAGCAGCCAGCCATAGCTAACCAATCAATATTCTTTGCAAACATGGAATTGGTAACAGATCCAAACCATTCAGAAAATTGATCTTGATAAGGCCAAGACAATTGAAGCTGTCACAGCTCTTGCTCCGCTGATGTGAAACAAGGTTTTTCCCTACCTACTCACAGAAGAAGACACTGAAGGCTCACAGAGATCAGACCAGAAGGCTTTGAGCAAAAACGAGAGAGGGCAAAGTCATCCGAAGAAGAGTGGTCGAGGCACCGATCTGATGGAAGGCAATGATTGCACTGATCAATGAAAGGCGTTGCATTCTAGTGAGGGGCATTATCGGCGGTGATTCTAGTACCTGATTTTGAAAAGAAACACACAATGTTTCGTGTGTGTTTGGAAGTGTGGTAGCAGTTTAAGAAGTCGATAATGTCAAAACAAAA